ATTGTTTCCACTTTTAATAGCTAAATGAGTTAGGGATAAGAATTACTTTTGCTAGTTTACTAATATATGAAAGAAATTACTCTTGCTAGTTTAGTTCAAGATCACATTTTTATGATTTCCTAGACTACTTTTCATGATAGGGGATGTATCTGGAAAAGTAAAATTCAAAAGGGTAGCCCGGTACACGAAGCATTTTGCGTTCACGCAGGACTTGGGGAAGGGCCGCACCACAATGAGGTGTGATGTAGACAACCTAAAAATTCAATTCTTTTAAATTCTTGTTAGGGCTGTCAAATTTGGCTCATGGCCAAATGACCCGCCAAACCCGCCCAAGGTTGAGCTGGTTATTGATCCGTCAATTTATTAAACTCAGTCCATCTTGATTCAACTCATCTCTAACCCATTTAAAGTTGGGCTGATTTTTAAACCAAATTGAACTTTGCCAAAATATCTTAGAAATAATTCTTTTTCGTTTGATATGTTATATATAATCATAACAAAAGAAGAAAAGTCTTATTTAATAATTATACAATTAATAAGAAAATAATACATATTAACTAAAGTTTGGTAAGAGTTTGGCGGGTTGGGTTATGATCCGAATTTTAGTTCATCTTAACCCAGCCTATTTCAACCCAAGTAATTTTTGGGCGAAAAAATTGGCACGCTAATTTATTGACTCAACTCATTTTGACCCGCCCAAAATCGGCTCAACCCGCCCATTTGACACCCCTGAATTCTGGTCATATATATGCTTCTCATGTACCTCTAACTGAGCAGGAAGAATTTGAGAGGAAGAAGGCAGAATATGAAGAGAAGATGAAGAACAAGATGGCTGTAATTCACAGGGAAGCAGAAGAAAAGAGGGCACTAATTGAAGCAAATCGAGGCCAAGATTTTCTAAAAGTAGAGGAAACTGCTGCAAAATTTCATGCTACTGGAATTCCCAAAAAGTTCTTGGGTTGCTTTGGCCGCTAAATTTTTTTTATCAAATATCTCAAAAACAATCATATGCAGACTCTGCATTCTGTTTTTCTTTTTCTCCTTATTTGTTACCATGATATTTCTAGTTTTATTTCTTTGAGTTGGTTGGGTATAATTGCTTAATGATTGATCCTTTTGTGTATAGAGCAAGTACTTGATTATATTTTTGATAGAACAATCATGTGTTATGAACAAAAACTCAGAATTTCTGTTAAGTTGGTTCAATTTTTCATGTTACTTTTTGTTTCTCACTTCGGTGTCCGATATCCGCTCTGAGGCCGTGATTAATCTGCATTCGTGCCACATAAAGCACATTAAAGGGGGAAAAGCTCTCAACCAATGATTTTTTCATTCTCAAGTCTCAATCTGAGACCTCTAGTTAAGGATGAAAAAATCATATCCCTATAACATTTACTCTAATTTCCGGTCTATATTAGTAATAAGTTTCCTTTTCCCTACCCTTTTTCATTCCCTTTTATTATCTTTTTAAATTTTCTTTAAAATGATCTATTTATTTATTTATTTATTTCAATTTCATTTTTTAGCTGCCAACTGAATTAACTACTTTTTCATTACGTGGCTTTAGCGTTAGCAAAAATTTTGCTTCTCCACTCGTTCTATGGAGTTTGTTCTAGTTAGTAGAAAGAAATAGCAAACCATGTTACTCATATTTTTTGTTTGTTTTCTATTGTTATAACTTTGGGAATTTAGAGATTGAAATCCTTGCTATTGATTTTCGAATGAAAAGGATTTCAAATCTCAATTCCCAGTTAGACTTGAAATAATAATCAAAAAGCAAAATGGCTTTTTCAGGAAGCCAACAGAAATGTATAGCTTGTGAAAAAACTGTTTATATTGCAGAGATGATATCTACAAATGGTGTTGTTTATCATAATACATGTTTTAGGTGCAATCATTGCAACGGAAAGCTTGCAGTAAGATATTGTTTTTTTTTTTAATGTCTTATGTATTTTCATTTACAATAATGACACTACTATATACTTGTACCGAATTAAAATAATTTAAACGGATAACGTATATAGATCAATAAAGAACGAGAAATGAAAACAATTCTAGCCTCCTCCATCTTTCGGGACTAACAAGGGGTAGTAGAGAAATATTCACTTGTTGTGACTGCGCCTTTGGGATGATCTTAGGCCCTGACTCACTTTCTGTGGACGAACATTAGGGAGGAACTATTAGGTTCTCGAGGCCAACATGGTGCTTTCGCTTCGTCCACCACTGCTCGTTTAGAAACTTCTCCCTAAGGCGGGATGCTCCCTTACTTACGTAATTTTTTTCGAAAATACAACGTGTATCTTTTATTTTTTTTAATGGAATCTTTCGTCTTATATGTAGTTCCTAATGATTTTATTACGTCAAATTTAAGCTTCTTATAATACATTTATGTTTAATTTTTTGGGATTACAGTTGAGCAATTATTCCACCCTAGATGGAGTTTTATATTGCAAGCCTCATTTTGAACAAATCCTCAAGGAGAAAGGAGGCGCCTCCTTGAAGCATTCTACATCTTGTTAGTCTTTTTAATTAAATCATTTCAAAAAGGCCAAAAAAATTATTCATTAATTTCCTAACCTAATTCTGTTTATTTTCCTTATTTCTTGAGCAGTGGGGAAGCAAAATGAACTGGTATGTATCATATATATTTACACGCGCTAATGTTTTTTATACGGGTAGCATTAGCAAATTCATCTCAAATATATACAAGATTATTAATCATATATCATGTTTCATGTACCACGCCCTTTAATGTTTGTACATTATTAGGGCAAAATGAAATTTATTTGACAAATTCTACTCATTTTTCTCAATATTATTTTTATGTGACTAAATCTTGTTCATTAATTAAATTAATCTTGTATACCTTTGTTATTGCAGAACAGAAGCCCTAGCAAAGTTTCGGCTCTCTTTTCTGGTACTCAAGATAAATGTGCCGCATGTAAAAAGACTGTTTACCCGTTAGAAAAGGTTAGTTTTATTTTATTTTATCCCAATTTCGAACTAATTAGTGTCAATAAATATGCAGTTCTTTTTATTCAAGAATCAGAGTTTGATATATACATAAGTGGGTTGCTAATAGGATTCAGGATCAAAATCTTATCACTTATGATACATATACACCTACGTTATTCGTTACTTCAAGTTCTATATTAAGGGTGTGTTTGGTACGAAGGAAAATATTTTTTATTATTTTCCTAGAAAATATTTTTTATGAAAATGAGTGATTTTATCATTTATTTTCTCTTGTTTGGTTGGTGAGTGAAAAATATTTTTCGGAAAATATTTTCTAGTTGTCACGTCCCGAACCATGGCCTGGGCGTAACACGATACTCGGTGCCTAACTGCATGTGGTGACCGAGTGAATCAACTGGATGGCTGGATCAACATGTGGTATAATTGTAAGCTGAATATAAAAATGCTAACATGTTGATCTGCTAAAGAGTCTGACTGAAATATCATAAATGCGAAAAATACTGAAAAGTCTGCAAGTTTAAACGAGTAGCCGACAAGGCTAATACATAAAAGCCTGCTAATACTGACTGGGCTATAATCTATGAAACCTCTAAAGAATATTGAAATGCTAACTATTTACTAGGACAAGGTCCCCGATATACCTTATTAACTGAAATACTATAAAGACTGGGGAAAAAAAGGGATAATGCCTCGAAAGACTGGGGCTCACCAATAGCTAATACGAGATGTCCTAGCAAGCAAAGTCGTCAACCTGTAAATCGTTACCTGCATCACGAGATGTAGGCCCTGAGCGAAAAGGGACGTCAGTACATTTGAATTGTATTGGTATGTAAAACAACTGAAAGAAGGAACTCTAAATACTGAAACTGAAACTGAACTGATAACTGAGAATTGATAAGGAAGTAAGGATATGAATACTCCCTCTTCTGGATGATGAACCACCTATTTATCTGAATATTAAATTGCGGCCTCGAGCCAAAATATATGTATACTTAACTACGGCCTCATGCCCAAAAATATATATAAAGTATAAACTATGGCCTCAGGCCCAAAGATGCATAAAGCATAAACTGCGGCCTCAGGCCCAAATACAAGTGTTCAACATTCAGGGATTTAAAATCAGAAAATGAGAATTATGTTGCAATACATGATACTGAAATACAAAATCATATTGAGTTACATGATACTGGAATGTTGAATAGAACTAGATTGGGACATGTATTCATAATAAACTGATTTGTCATAACTGAGGCTTATAAGATATTGAGTGAATTATGAACTATGCCATCTAGAGAATAGAAGTTCTACAACTATTCATGGAACTAAGGCATATATAATTACTTTCTGAGAAATTCGTAATAGTCATAAAGAATGAGACGTAGGGAGAATCATAAACATTCCCAAACGTAGAGAGTTAGCCTCATATACCTTAACTTCCTGCTCTTGAGCGTAATACAACGTTTGTCAACCTTTTTAACTTTAATCAATAGCAATACAAGTCAAAGAGATTTCATATTAGCAATAATACTCATGTTTTGGTCACTTAGGTATTTTATCAAACACTTGGTGGATATAAAGCTTCATAACCCTTATTAATGGTATTCCTATACCCAATAACCCATTCTCTTGCTCTTAGATAAATTCTAAAATCTCAAATGGTTATAATCAACATCTTCATCACGCATAAGATAAACAACACCCTTAACCAATAATCAACAATCAACAACCCAAACCTATAATTGTTCATGCTTTTCTGTCAAACCCATCAACTCATATCTCATGAACTAGAGTCTATAATCATTAATCCAATACTATAACTAAGTAGAGGGTGAATATATTACCTTTTTGACATCCAATCCTCTTGAATTCGAGTCCTAGAGTTTCTTTTCTCAACAATGATGTTCCAAACGAATATCTGATGATTTGAAAGGTTTACCCATGTTAATAAGGTGTTGAAGAATTGAAATTAATTTATAATCACCATTAGAACTCATCTTGGATGGTGGAGGGACCTTGGAAGAGGTTAGGTTCTTGAGAGCTTTTCTTTCTAGAGCAAGTTTTTGTGTTTTGGGGTGTGGGGGGCGAAATAGGGCTTTTAAAATGACCTCCCGGGTATGCTCCCGTGCACCTGAAGGCCCAACCGCGCACCTGAACGTGTAGCAGGGCAGTAGCACTGCCACAAGTGCGCGGCCGCGCACGGGACCATCCGGGCGCGCACCTGGGCGCGTATACTGTATATTGTCCAGTAAAACGTACATAAAGTTTTGCACAAAGATCTGTTTGGGATCCACAATATATCGTTGGAAAGATATTTCAAATTGGTATAACTTTTATGCTTTGAGTTTTCCCAAATGCCTTACAGATTTTCACGAAATCCAAGTGGAAGACAGACCTTTCGTAAACTTAGTTGATTTTATCGAATCTTATGCACCTCGCTCTCCATCTTGATTCTAAAACAACTATTTTCACCCATACTCATCCTGATAGAACTTCACATGTCTAAAATATAACATTACTACTGATTACGTCCACACCTGAGCCGAATTTATAGAGTGTTACACTAGTATTTGGTTAAATAATATAAAATACGTTTAGGAAAATAATTTTTTATGTTACTCTCCCCAACCCACTTTACTTTTTCACACAAAAATAACATTAAAGTTTGAGCTCGATAACTAAAATGAAAATACTTTATTTTGTTGAAAAAGAAAGCTTTTTTTCTACAACATGAAAAAGAAATTACTCATTTTGTTGAATAAAAGAAAATACGTTTTCTACATCATGAAAAAAAGTACTCATTTTATTAAAATGAAAGAAAATACTTTTTATACATCATGAAAAAAAAGTATTTGTTTTGTTGAAATGAAAGAAAATACTTTTACTACATCATGAAAAGAATATATCCATTTTATTGAGAGAAAAA